TCGTCGGTTATGGAACCGGATTCTTCTTCCCCTCATCATTCCGCCGCTGAAAGTTTCAATAAAATCCTTCCAACCGTCGAGGGAATCATACCGAGTCAATTACATCAAAAAATATTGGAGACATTTTGCGGCGGAAAGCGACACGCAAAGATCGTCAGCGACTAGTTCCCATTCCCTCAAGTCGCCTTTTTCATGCTATCGATTTTTTTTGCGCTCCTATAGGCTAGGGTTCAGTTTGAGACCTCGTATATGGTTCCCTATAGAATCTGTTGGGTTCCATATAGGACCTATGGGTTTCGTATAGGTTGTAGGGTTCCGTTTGAAGTTCTCCTCTAGGCCACTAGATGGAGGAAAGGGGTTGTCGGATTTCTCAAAGGACACAAAAGTGCCATCCCCTTACCCATGAAATGATCTCTCACAAGAGAATTTTTTACAACCCCAAATGTCTCGCCTTGCCTCATTGCAGCAATCAATAAACTTGGACACTTTCTTATTTGTAATCCTCATCTTCCAAATGGAATCATGGAGTTCTGGCCAGATATACGCCCATAATCCTTTTTAAAACAACATATTTCAATGGACTTCGCCCGAAATGAGTATCAAATAGGAGACGTGCACGCAGATTCTGCCTTCTCTTTCCTTAGGCGGAGAGAAGAGAATACAGCCACTTATGTGGGCCTGGGCAATAAATTATGCCGACCTGGACAATACTAGAATTTTTTATGTAATTGCCCCCCATGGGGAGACCCCTGATTAGTAATCGATATACATCAAAATGCTGTGCCAATAAAGTACTAATACAATATATTAATTTACATTCCTGCAGTCGACACGAGGCCTATCGTTCCATTTTTCACTCCTCACCGTCCCTATGGGCGCGAAGATTGACGGCGGGGTGAATGAGGTGATCGTGCAGTCCCGTGATCAGTCGCTGTCAGCATTTTGATACGTGCGGTCTGCGCCTGGAAACAGTAGTTGACGCATCGGACACGTCTGGGTCAGTTCCTTCGTCGTCTCCGGGCGTGATGGAGCACGAAATATTCCGTGGGCGAAAGGCCATCGAAATTCCGCAGCATTGATTAATCTTAGATATGCTCCAGGGGACTATCTAAGGATATGGATAATCCCCATTAGTTGCTTTATTTCCCTTTGTTTTTGTTATTTTCATGAGGGACCTCGCAAATTGCTATTGATGGCAGCCGAGTTCTCATCCCTAAACCGTTATGGATGACCCATGAAGCTTGTTGTCATGCTATAAGTTATTCATACCTCAATTGGGGGTTTCCAGGACCATTACCACAGCCCATATCTCACGGTAGGGAAATATTTTGAATTGATTTGAAATCGCGTATCATGATTCACGATATGATGTATTCAGCTCCGTTCGTCAACGGTTTCTTCGCGATCCAAAGGTTTCTAGCCTCATCGACGTGGAACATCATCAGTCATGCGATGACGACAGCTCCTCTTTTTTTTATAGGGAACTTCCTAGTCATGGGGTAGGGCTTTTTGATAGCCTGCCGAGGGAGGATTCTCGTTCCCCTCTTCCGTCCGCCGGTTTTTCCTCCCGTGCTTTCATCTGGGACTCCTTCGGCCTCCCGTCCTATAGTCGGGCTTTCGCTGGAGTGCTGTGCTATGAGCAGAAAAATGTCATGAATGGGAGATATTTGCCGGCTGCTCCGTCCAATGCAGAAAGTCTCGTCGCTGGACTACTTGAAATTTTACCCTTCCATACTTCCGACTTTAGATATGTATAGAGGAATAAATTCACGAATCTAATATATATGGACGATCGTGACTTACTGACTGACTGACGCTAATTCTAACCATGTTCCAGAAAGGTTAGAAATCTGAAACTTGGTACACAAGTACCTTTTGGGGTGGAGAGTTTTTCCAGAAAGGTTAGAAATCTGAAACTTGGTACACAAGTACCTTTTGGGGTGCAGAGTTCAGAAAAAATCCGACTTTGGAGGTACATGCCCTGTGGGTACACATTTTGGGGGAGAAGTTTATTTTTAAATATTTATCGTCATGGATAAGGATGTCTTCGAGAAATACATCTGTACGCCGCCGTTTCGGTGGTGTAGTTGTTGATCAACAAACCCATAATCGTGAGGCCTGGGTTCAATTCCCGCCCCTTTCATGCCTTTTTTTCGGCTTCTCTTGCTTTCCATGTCCCGTGGCTTGAGTAAATCGGAGAGAAATAGAAAGCTGAAACGTGCCAAGGATGTACCTACCGACACACTGGGTTCAGGAAAAATGCAACATTTTAGATCGATGCCCTGGGGGCATATATTTGGGGCCAACGTTTTCAAGTGTTTTTTTTTGTCCTGGTGTATTGGAGTTGAGGGAGTATTCAGGTTTCATGGTGCATCCCCTCCGGGCATGGCATTTTGGGTGGGTCGGCTTTCCAAACATCATTTTTCACCAGCGAAAAAGGCAAACGTATAATATTGATACTTTGTGGGCATGTAGTTCACTGAGGTTTGATTTCGGTGAAAAAAAATGGTACTTTTCGGTTAAAACGCCCGAGGGCACATATTTTGCATATTTTCCTGAATTTTCTGATCCAGCAAAACGGAGATTGCTGGAAAGGTTGAACTTGGCAAAGAAATAGAAAGATGAGTAGATGAAATAAACAATTCTACTTTCATTATTATATATAGATGATCGAAAGTAGCTGATTGATATAAGTAGCTATTCACATGCTGAGTTCAGGAAAAATTCCACTTTGGTGATACACGCCATAGGGTCACACCTTTTCGGGGAACATATTTTCAAAGAGTTCTTTTTGCTTTAATCAAACCCATGGAAGACTATGGAAAGCTGCAACATGGCAAGAACATGACTGGGGAAGCACTCTGCTTAAATGTCAAATGTCAAATTTCCAAAATATTTTTTGGGCATATTTCTTGAGGACGTAACTTTTTAAAAGAATTTCAAACATCCCTGCGAATCGGGCAGAAATAGAAAAATAGCAGCTGGCGCACGCATAACGGATGATGTTGATTTAAAGAAAAATTCAACTTTTGCTGAGCGTCTCCCCAGAGAACAGCTTTTGGGCTTTTCCAAATATATTTTTTACCGCCAGCAAAATGGGGAAACGCATGAAGCTGAAAGTGTGTGGCATAGAGTTCCCTGAGTAATAACAAAATAACAAATTTTCGTTTAAAAAATCGGACCACTTTTTTTTAAGTCTCATTTTCGTGAGTTATTTTTCGATCCAACGAAACAGAAACGGATAATTAAAAATTCCCTTCAGAAGTACCTGTTTGATGGCTGAGTACAGGAAAAATCCTACTTTTGAAATATGCCTCATAAGCATAGATTATAAGAGAGAAGTACTTGAAAGTGTATTCTCCACCTTTACCAAAAGGGACACACGAAGAGATATCAAGTTAGGCACACTAGAAATCATAGAATTAATGATTTTGATAAAAATGAGGACTTTCGTCCCCATATGTCACATATTCCAATGGGACGTACTTTAAATACGTGTTTGCCATTTCGCAAAGAATAAATGAATTAAGCACTATCCAAGGTAATAAAGCGCCGAAGGCGCGACCACTAGTATATGTATAACGATGATGTGTTGGACGAACGTGACTTTTGACGTATTTGACAGAGATCTTCAACTCCTGATCGAAATCCTGACAGACTTTAGGTAAGGCGTTTGCACGCTTTTATCGGGACGTAGATACGGAGATACCTTCAGCCACAAAAGTCGATCGCGGGTTTAGGATTAACAGGGATTAGAAAGAAGAACCGGCCGGCATCACTCGAAGTGAAATGAATAGCTGCAATATGATAATAATGATATATAGTATCTTTTTGCAAATGCTCCCAACAACGGCGTCTTACTCTCCTTCCCATACTCCACAGGGGGTTGCCAATCGATACTTGACTCGGGGCTTGTCTTGAGACACTATTTATAGGCTTTCTCACGTGATCCTCAGAAGGGAGTTCCACCACTCAGCATTCCTCTGGATAAACGGTCCCCTATTTCCGAGATAATTGCAGGCGACCAGGCATTCTCATGCCAAACTTGAAATGTCCCACTTCAATTATAACATTGCCATCGGAGTGTCTTCAAAGCACGGGCCAAGTAGCAACATAATCTCACATGCCTGAACTGATCTCAAATGACACGTTTCTCACGTTTTGATGTTCATTCTGAAAACAATCCTACTTTCATTGATCCGATGTTGAAACATACAAGAAAGTTGTTAATTTCCATCATGTTCATGTTTTATTACGATGTTACTCATACTCTAGTTGCACATAACATTAAATCAGCGTTGATTTTATGTTACGTACTACTATGGTAAATTTATATATAGAGTGCGTATTTGCGCGAACATTGGAGGTATGGGCTTTTTCTGTGGACGCTTTTCGTATATTCGATCGAGAATATGGAATTCGAGATTCTGTCCTCATACCTTTCTGAAACCAAATCTTTACATTTTTACCCCGAATGCAGCAGGTTCTTGCTTTCAGGGTTACAATTGCAATAATTGTTGGACTCGTTCCAAAAACTGAATTAAAAAGAAAAACATAGAAACCTGCAAGTTGTCAGCCAGGGTTTCAATGTCCAATTAGGTAACTGCAACAATTTTCACTCTTCAATTAAATAGGCCATTGACACTTTCCCCTCGCCCTCTTCAAGAGTCTGTTACTAGAAATCCCTCAAATTCCCGTATCACCGCTACCATAATTCTCACCAATAAAAATATAGGCAGCATTTTTTGCCTTGGTATAACTGATTTTGTATTTATTTGAAATTGTATCAGAAGAGTCTCTCGTATCATGTCTGTGATAATATGCCTCTTAGCGTCAGAGAAGATGGAAAGCTTCTCGTTCTGATGTAAATTATTTGCTCCTCAATAGGGGACATTCGCCTCCATTACCAGTGTAGGGTTCCTCTTACGGGGAATATATTATCTGTACTACCAAGTAAGAATGATGATGGATGGCAATGGCAGGAAATTGTTTGAATCTCAGGGGTACTTGTGACGCGGAAGGAGACTGTATAAAACCACGTGTTTGGCGCAGGAGAACCGCATCATTTCAAAATGCGGCATCTACATATCCTTTTCTATTTGATCTCGTCCGGCCTACTTGGTGCCATCGGGATCCTCGACATCCACTTCGAACCCCACCCATCGTATCTCCAAGACGAAGCACTACTGATGTGGATCCTGCGGGGGTTGCGGAACAGTTACATCCCCGTTGTCTATCGGGATGCCCGGCTGGATGCTGGAGACGGACTGACCAGAGGAATCCCCCACGAAATGGCCACGGTGGAATTCGGAATGGATGCCGGATCGGTGCCTAAGGTGGACACGGTTGCCTGGGATGAGGGATCGTACTTGCAGCATACTTTCATCTTCCTCTCTCGTGACCGTCGGCTCATCAACAGGGTTAGTTGCTGCCGTCTGGGGTCCTAAAAAATGAATTACCTGAAATACATGAATTCTAATCCGTAGGAAAGTGTCTTTTAGAATTTCTACACGGATGAATCCGTATGTAATAGGTATTTTAAACCAGAAAAGCCTTCAGGATTCCTTAAGGAATTCGTATAGGAACCTCAACGATTTCCGATGGGATACATATAGTGTTTCCATGGAAATCCTAACTGGTTTGAAAAAACCGAATGGAGTCAAATGGGACCTTTTCATAATCCTCATGGAGAAAACTTTACGAGATCCAATACGATTTTTGAAATAAAAATAATATAGAATCCTTTAGAAACCCTGTAAGCTTTTAATGTTCAAAAACCTCATTGAATTCAATAGAATCCTTTCGTAAGGGAAGGGTAGAATTAAACGGATTAGTCCGTATAAAATGCAACTTTGGAGGCCTCCAATATTGCCAGATATTGATTGAGTGCATTCTATCGAATACCTTCCACGACTAGCAATGCTGTACGTGTTTTTCGACGCAGATCAACACCCAACTTCGGAAAACCTTCTAATGGGATCTCGTCACTGAGCTGGAGCACAGCCAAAAAATAAAGATGGAACTTAGTTTACCTGCATTGAGAAAAAGCAAAAAACAAGATCGTATATTTTTATTTTCGTTACGCTATATTTCCTATTTGGCCTCTCCAGTGGCTACCCAGAGGAGAGAAATATGTTTATAGGAACAAAATTGACGTTCAACAAGCAAGTTCACTGTTCTGCAATACCCCTAGGAGATGGATTACATTTGCTGGAGTTTTTTTTCTGTCTTGAGGATACGAAGTATAACGAATTTCATTTCTTTAATTGCTCTTAGAAGTAAGTACGAGGACCGGAAAGGAGCTGAAGAAAGTGAACAGAAGCCTTAGCGCTTATCGATACTGAGAGATTGAAATAGATCTTGTTTATTAAGCACATATGGACTGACCCACTACCGAAAATGAGGCATTCATATTCCCTCTGGACCAGATTTCGCCTGGAATTAAGTATGCGATATTCTCGACCTCGACAGACTCTGGAATCCAATGATGAACTACTGAAAGGTACGACGAAGCTTTTCGTGTACCTGGGAACCCTGAGTGAATCCATGGTGAAGTCCTTCTACAAGGCCTTCCCTGGGGAGAACACCTACCTCTTCGGATACATGCCCCTGACGGAGAGAAACGGGAGTTCCACGGCCGTGTCCTTCCGTGTCTACAATCGCTGTCTCTACTGCCAAGGAGGGAAACCAAAGGTCGTACTCGTCGATGCGGTCTCTTGGGCTCTGGGAGACACCATGCAATCGAAAATGGCCCCCCCAACGTCCAGTTTCACTGGGAACTTCTATGGAGCAAGGTTAGCGTTGAAAAGGACGAAATATGAAGTGAATGCCAGATATGTGACTTTCGAAATCGCCCGAGAGAGGAGAGAAAAAAGTAAGGATGTTGAACCGGGAAGAGCTGGAGAGTGTGACGGTGAAAGGGAAGTGGAGATAATTATGGCACGGGAGGGTGGGGGATAGAGGACCAAGGAAAAACGCAGGGAGAGGGGAAGGCGGAAGTGGAAGGCGGTGAGAGAGAGTCAGGGGCGGGATTGGCGTTCAAGTACTAGATGTTGTCGAAGCTTTGCAGATATTGGACCCAAACAGCGATCTCCAAAGATCTTAGCGTAGACGATGAGCGAACGACGCCGAAATTTAGGACACCCTTGAGTATAAGGGTACACGATCTTTGGTAAATTTTTCTATCCTAAACATGGTTAATATACAAACTCAGAGCATCTTACATGTTGTACTCACAACAATGAAAACATCAATGATTTAATGATATAATTTTCACTTTTGTATCTGTTATGATGTGACATGCAATAGGAAGGGCTATATTAATCCTCCCGAGTGATAATATACTATTGAAAAAAAAGCTGTGAGCTGTGACGCATCCTCGGTTGAGAGCGATAAATACAGCCGCCATACGAAGCCCTTTTCGTGGCATGTACGAAACGGGATTCATGCCCAAAACATGCCCGTGCCCCTCCCCCGATCGAGTTCGTGTCCTCGCCGAGGAGGGGAATGAGACCGGGCCATAGGGAATGTGTGGGGCGGAAGCAAAGAAGGGCTGGACTGCTTTCGGTACTTGAGAGCAGTTTCTGGGGCGAACGCCCAACGCTTGGGTCATTCGTATTCCACGGGTTACTTGAAATTCCTGGGGGAGTCAATTTTCACTTTTAATGAAGCGAACTGACACTTCAATACCTTTTGTTGGCAAAGTAGCAAACTCATTATCAATATTAATTACAATATTACTGACTTTAATTACAGTAACTATAAAAAAGAATAACGAATAGCAGATTATACGACAACCATCTCTAGAATGTCAGATTTTGAACAGATGACGATTGGGTGTTACGAGGATATAGCTATGGTTCCTATACGTAAGCATAGTCAAGTAGCGAACAAGAAGAAAAGGTGCCAGTGGGTGCCAGTGGGGTTTCGTTTCTCATCAGGAAGAGGGCAGGTGCGAAGCGACGATGAGATTACTCGATCAAACTATTCCTTCGAGCCATAGATGAAGCGACGTTCAAGTCTGTCATTAGTAGTGGATCCTCTCAATGTGATAGCATTCTCGTTTAAAGGGCCAAAAGCGATCGCCATATGGAACCATATCCTCTATGGTTTCCGAATGTTCACCTAGCTTCATTCCAGGTAAATGTACATCGTCCTAGCAGGAGTGATTCTGAATTAAAAGCCACATGCCAGCATCCGAGCATATTTACGGAGAGCGACCGATGCAACTGCGACATTAGCATCTATCACTGACATTAATACCTTTCATTAATATTTATCTACGTCACGAATGAAATGTGTCATCCTTTTCCCTGAAGGCTCCGCATTGGCGCCAACCTCGGGGAGCCATTCATCCACTTCGTCGAGGGCCAGAAGAAGAATTCGACCCCAGAGGGCTATGCCGTGGACTTGGTCAACGCTCTAGCCGCAAAACTCAACTTCACCTACGACTTCGTTCTCGTCGAAGAAGGGAAGCTGTTTCTGGTCGACGGAGTGCCCGGTGGGCTGATTGGGCTGGTCCATAGAGCCGAGGTGGACTTCGGGATCTCGGGACGCCTGCGCAGCCGCGGCTATTATCGGTACGTGAAGTACTCCACGCCGTACACGGTGGATCGTATCGTGATGATCGTAAATAAGCCTCAGCGGGTGTCACCGTCCTCGCACCCGTTTGCCAGTTTCTCCTTGGCTTTCCTTCTCACTTGGGTCGCGTCGATGGTGTTCTTCACCTTTTTCATTATGGGCATCAGACGCTTTTTATTCACTGGGGTTTCGTTTGTGGAACCGACATGGTTATCAGTATATCGTGTGACCACCTATGTTTCGATTCCTCAACGTGTCTACCTCCGCCAGTCGTCATACCGGCTCTCTTTCGGCTTCCTCTGGCTCGCCATGGTCATATTCTACGTCATCTACCAGGCTTCGCTCCAATCCATGCTGAACGTCACGGAATTCGCGTCACCTGTGAATACCATCGATGACTTCGAGGACCAGGGCTTGCAATGGCTGGTGAACGAGGGCAGTACTGCAGATTCTTACTTCCAGGGCAACTCTTATATGGAGTCCGTAAAAGTCCGGTATGTCGGGAACGAGTCAGCCTTGGATATCATGATGAAGAATCCCCACACGTACGGGACGGTGAGCGATATGATCAGCTTCCTGGTACAACTCAATCGCCACCGGCAGGCGGATGGCTCAAACCCTTTCTGGACACTGCGAGAGACTGTTGATATGTTCCTATTGTCCATCCCGTTTCCAAAGTTGTCACTCTTGCTAGAGTCATTCAATCGGGTCATTCGACGGCTCATAGATGGGGGCATCCTGAAGCGCTGGCGCGAGATGGCGCAATTCCGGATTCAGCTGCGCCACGTCAATGATATTCTCACCAGGAAGGATAGTTATTCCGAAATGCAGCAGGTGGAGACATTATTACCATTGGGGATAGCTCATCTCGTCGGGCCTTTCTATCTCCTCGTGGCTGGAGAGGCGATCGCCTTGGTCGTATTTTTCATCGAACTTTTCGCGGTGAGGCCAGATTCACGGGAGCGCCAAACTGCAAAGAAATGATTCCAAGGGTTCTTCCGATGTGGGTGAATTCCTTCAGCCACTTTATTTTGGTCTGGTCGTCTAGCTCCCCTCTCTTTCGTCGATTATCTACAAATTGCTTATTGCAGTTTCTTACAATCTCAGCAAGTCACTGTTCATGGGTTATTTTTCTTCTCTGCAATGTCTTAGTGAGCCACTTTTCACTCTCCTGAAGCAAATTTCCGGAGGCGTGAACTTACTCGGTATCTCGCATAATTATCTGGTTTAATTTCTGCTTCAATGGATATCACTTTCACGAGGAATAAGGAGCCCATTCCTTTGTTCCTCGCACCATCTTGGCATGATCCGACTGAAACCCAACTATTTCACGGAATCATTAACGTCAGATACATTCTGCAACGAACACAACTTAATGGGCCATTAGAATCCACTGAATGTATTTCTGCGTTTCATCTCACCTCAGCCGCCACTGAACGCCACCCAATGAAACCTTCGAAGAGGCATTTGAACATCTACATGAGGGCGCGAACATGTCAATATTTGTTTCTCCCTATTCCTTCCACTTTTAATCCAGTGTCAACACCAAATGTGGTTTGTGTGTGCCATATATAGGGTGTCCATGAACAATTTAGGGAAATGTAATATTTCAAAAATGTCGTGAATCAATGCACATATATACATTGCAGCGAGCGAAAGATCAGCATTTCGCATTTTATTGCACACACTTAAAACATCTTCATATACTTTTTCAGCCTGTTTGAAGCGAAATGACGATTCCTCGAGAGAACACAGTTCGTGTTTTCGGTTTGCGGGGGTGAAGTCAGTCGCACAGACGGAGCACAAGTTCAGAACAGTCTACAGAAAGAACCCCCTGACCACTGATGAATGAAGCAATTTAAGTGAAACGAGGAATACGCTCGGAGAGGCTCTCGACCTCGAGGGGAAGCGTTGCACGGGTAAGGGAAGCCTCATCAGCGCCTTCGTCGGTGCGCTGAGTTTGAAATTGCTGCATCCATCAGTAGATAGAATCACGGATCTTGCCTGTCCTGAACTTGCGTTGCACCTCCGTGACTGACTTCACATCTGCGAACCACGACACGGAAAATGTCTTCTCCCGTGAAATCCCCATTTCACTTCAAGAATGCTGAACAGTAAAAAAAATAGTAGATTAATACATTTGATATGTATGCAATGAAACCTGAAACGTTAACATTTTCGTTTCCTGCATACGTTCATTTGCACATGATTTATGAGAGATACGATATATTTAAAATTGACGCTGAGTATTCTCTTTCACCATAGATTTTGGTCTATTGTGAATTTCCTCCCCTGTGGCTTTAAATATCGTTTTCTGCTTGGAAACACTGCTCCTTTGAAAAAAAAGCACATTTCTGGTCACCATATCGCCGTTGTGCTGAATGTTTCTGTTTCAGAAATACAAAGACATTATGGCGTGAAGTTACTTTAGTTCTGCATTGATGGCCTGCAAATAGCCAAATTGATTGTCTGGAAAACTAATCTCGCCCGGTTGTAACATTATTGCGAATGAAAGAATATTCAGGTATTTAAGGAATTGTATTCATTTCCTCAATACTTTTTAGGATAATTTTTGCCTTTCGTATTTTGTCATCTAATCAATCGTGGTTCCACAAGTAATAATAAAAAAGTATGTCCATGTGTGTTTCTCTTCGCAAAAAAAGAGCATTATTTGGCTTGTGCTTTGCTGAAGCTATGCTTGATGGGAAATCACGGATGAGAAGAGATTGGAGGGAGAATCAGGAGGTGCTACTTGTTGAAGACTCTGTCATGCGCCTGGTTCCAGCTATTGGGAAGGACGGGGGCGTTCGGGAGTCCATGACACTCCTTTCCTTTTTTTTAGAGCAAGGATGGGGTATATCATACCCGCACTGGCTTTTAATTTTCCATATGCAATCACGGTTCAGGGATGAAACACAACTTATTAATGCTCTGGAAAGCTCCGAGTGACCGATAGGTCATGTCTTTATTTGCTTGAAATCGATCAAAGGCATTGCTACTTTCTCGCCTTCTTCACTACAAGTACGCCCCAAAGAAACAAACACAAAATGCGAATGCACTCAATCGAATTACATGTAGGAAAGTAGGAAATTGCACTGCCACGTAGAAGCAAGAGCTAATTCCAGTTTTACTTTCATTCCACTCTTTTTCCCTGCCATTTTCACAAAGAACAAAAATGAAAGATGAAGGAATTAATTTTCCCTATTCCACTCTCATGAGACTAAAAAGGGAAGAAACCTGGAGATAGCGATTGCTACATTTTAAAAGTGTACTCACACCAAACTTACAAGTCGAACGACGAGCATATCTCCTATGTTGAGCTCTTTATTTTTTTAAATGAAGAATGCCGAAAATATATTTTTAATTAAGTATATCTATTAGTATGAAACTTGAATACATAATACTCTCCTCATCCCATCGCATATGTAACATACCAACTCACATTGAAAAATTACTCACATCTGCTCGGATAAACAACAACCATTCTTCAGAATTTCGTTCTCGATTCAGATGTCCTTGTGAAAGTCACCTCAGAAACGCTGTCCTGTCTCTGAAGAGGTCTAGAAGGCACACTCGGACGCCAACACGAATAGTTGGGCGAGTCCAACCGTCCATGAAAGGAATGAAATGAAGTGCCCGGTTGCCGAGGAATGGAAAGCATCGTCCCGATGTTGACGAGTCGAATGAAAGGAAGTTGTGGCCAAGAGAAATGGAGAGGCCTGCTTGGCTGTTGCTGGGATGGATGATGGGGATTCCCTAGTTCTTCTTCAGACGGTGGAAATGGGTATAGTCTCTATTCGGCCTCAAAGGACACACTTATGGCTTTAATGTAACAGGTGAAGGGGAGAGCCTCGGGCATTGAAAACCCCCAATGCTCCTCATGGAGACTAGGTCTCCCTGCACGAGACATGGTGAATAGAGGTATTTTCCTTGAAAATCGGGTTTGCCGACTTTCTTTCGTTCAATCGGGTGAAGGTGTGCTCCGAAGGATCTCTCTCGACGGACTGAAAGGTACTGTCTTTAATATGACAACACGGAAGCGTGTCATAAACCGTTAGCTTCCCAATGACCTGCTTGAGACCAGGTTTCTCTTATCTCTTTCACTCTATGCCTCTCACCAATAAAATATTTTGTTCTCAACCAAGTGTGTCCTTTTGATACCGAATAGTCTAAATATCCCTCGCACAAATGTTTCTTCCTTCGGGTTGAAATTCTCCCTGACGATCACGAATGATCGCTTAATCGTCTTGTAATATCCATGGAATTCAATCAGCGGATGAGCATGCCCAATCCATTCAACATTTCCTTTCAACTCGGAATCTTAGGTGTCTCATTTGAAATTCCTATGCAAATTGCACATTCGATTTGCATTGTTTTTCGTTCATCTTGTTAGTCCAGTTTCTAGTCCTCCCTAGTTTACTTTATTATGGTAAACTCCTCCTGCACTATTGAAGAATTGGATGGAAACATCCAATTGTTCATGAAAATCTTAATGGCCCAGTAGGAGTTACTTTTATAATTATGATGAAATCACCATAGCAAATAATGCACATGTCCGACATAACGGAATAAAAAGGCCGCGCGGGAGAGTCGCAGCGGTCGGGGGTGCCAATCAGATCGAGGCGAACAAGGAGTTCGATTGGAGGAGGGAGTGGAGAAGCCTTGGAGAAGACGCGGGATGTTGGGTGTGTCCTTATTGCTGGAGATCGGATGCTGTCACCCGGCCCAGACCACTCTGGTTCGTGTTCTGGTATTGCTCATTGAGTATATATTGCCTAATAAGCATATGAAGGAATGAAATCTCGAGTGTTCATCTCATATCCATTTTCTGGTTCTCCTTATTATTGACCTTTTTCCAATCTGGTTGTCACAATGAAATAATTTAAAATTTCTGGAGTCCAAGGAGTCATTATAAACCTCGAACACGCTGGCGATCTCTTCCAAATAATCATTTACGTCAACTCACGTCGGAGCCGCCTACAGTTCCATCAATTTAACTTGCATCAAACTGACACAAGGAAGTGTTTTCACTGAAGATTGGGATTTTCGTCGAAATGAGAGGAACTTGCAATCAAGGAAAATGAAACAGACTTGGTAAGAGTCAGAAAAAGATGCATGCGGATGATGTAAGACGATGTACTCGAGACAGCATATGAATGCATAATAACGGACGTCGATCTGGTTAAAAAAAAAAACGGCACACATACAGGCAATGGAATTTCTCCAGTGCTTTGTTTTTTACTTCGTGCAACGGATTCCGTACCCAATTTGCACAAAACTTGACCGACTTTCACCTTTTAGTATGGAATGCATCGATCTAGCGGATATCCATAGAGTCTCTGCCACTGCCTCCACCTTGATTCGTCCTTCTTTTCCCACGATGGCTTGGACCGCATTGTTTTTCTCATCGGCGACAAGAGGTTGCCGGCCGACCGGGTCGTCTTCAAGGCTCTCTTCTCCCTTCCTTGAAGTGGCGAATGCTGTCATACACCGAAACTCGTGGTGGAGCACTGTCATGATAAATGTTTTGCACAGCCTCAAGGATTTCCTTCTTTTTCCAATTGAGCTTCGTCAGGAACTTCGCATTAGCACGAACTCTCGAATCTCAAGCTTTCTATGTCGACCCTGACGACCTCAATTTAATGAGTCAGATTTCGAGGAAAATCAGGAGCACGGTGATGGTGCTTCATGTTTTCCATAACTGACTCGACCTGTCAAGATATGTCCGAACTACCACCTGAGCATGGTTAGATACAGGCATGAAAAAAAAAGTTGATCTCCCCTGGAATATTCAACATTTCACGACATCACATGCAGTACTGCCCTGTGTAAAACGGAAAGTCCAGGTTTTATTTAAACCAACCTCATATACATACACAGGGTGTGACAAGAGCCATGGATCGGAGAGGGATCGCTTGGGGAAAATTTACTGCCTGGACCACTTGGAACTAACCCGCGAACCTATACCGATACCGTGACGCCAAATTTATTTGGAATGAAATGATCCAGCTCCACCAAATGGGACCTTTCGAAGCGTCAACCAAACATTGATCTGGTAATCCAAGATCGATCCAAGTTCTATCGATCCAAAGCGACCTATTGACACAACCTGAAAACCTTGAGGGAAAAGCATCAGGATAATGAGCATAAGCATAAGCATTAGCATAAGCATAAACAGCCGCTCGTTAATGCCTCGACTTGACTTTCCGAACGGGCGCGTTTCGCATCAGTTAATTATTACGTTGATTTTTACTTGATTGGAGACTCTTGTACCAGGTGTCAAAAGGCAGCAAACTCAGCGTGGGAACCTCCCGATGTTTATAATAACCCTCATGTTTCTTTAGTTTCTTTTGCGATAACCTGAAATGTTTACTACGAAGGCAGAATTTTATTACTTTCAGGGTTAAAATTGGATATAGAAGGCCTAGTTTCTAAAACCGAAGATGAAATAATATTTATTGCATATAAATCGCCAAATTGAAACTCAGGACTTAAACTTTCCAAGAAAGGTCACGGCCCTTCCTTCCTCGACTAAACTGACTATTTGTCCTTTCCTCTCCCTCTCTTCAAGTGCCTTTAGTCTGAAACCCCCGAATTCCCATTTCACGGGTACCATGCTTCCCCACAATTCGAAAAGAGGCAGCATGTGACACAAAATTAAAAAAAATTCAACTTAAAAAAAAAACTCGGAAAAACTGGTTTTCTGGGACCATGCGTCCTGATGGCAGGACGCATTGTTTGACAAAAAAAAATGCGCGTGGTCCCACGCGGCGAACAAGCAAAAATAGGCTGGTCGTCAACGTGTTAATTTCGCGGTCTGTTATTTCGTTGAGAAGGTCGCTGAGTTTCAGGGCTGCTGATGGAGCTTGGGAACTCCCGAGAAACAGTTCGTGGATGACTGATTGGGGTGCCCGTCTCGCTATCGCACTTTCTCCTATTCTCAATAACGGATCCGACTGTTGCGAAGGAAAGAGTCATTGTACGACTTGTGCAACACCCCCCCCCCCACCCCCACCCTCATAACTAAGGGATGTTCGCACCGATATGAGCATTTCCCCCGCGGAAAAACCCACATGCACACTTGGAGTTCCGTTTTTCTCTGTGCGAAGGAGAGTAACTCTAGAGGGTGGATGCGACGGGATCGTCAGGATGGAACAGAACAGGATAGCTTATTCTTGGATCACAAAGATCCCGCCGATTGGGTCATCACTATCCCGTATCCATATCCGTATATTTCACTCATGCTTGCGCGCGAAATGATGGAATTGGTCTTGACGGACGAAGCGGACGGAGTTGCGATCGAAAGGAAGAAGTGGCGATAAATGTTCGGGCGAAGGTCTCACCCCGGCGACGAAGTCAGCCTCCCTTAAGCGGAATGAAAGGGGAATCCAAAGGCTGTACGTGGGGACACACAAAGAATGGGAGAGGTGGGCTGCTCCCTATAGCGATGAGAGGGCCACCGAGTTTAAGGGGCGGCCGAATGAACTCGGGATCTTTTGCGGATGAGTTCGAGGAAGTCTTCCACTGGTCAGCTAGTGTAATATGGGAACACAAAACAGCTTGGACTCTTCAGAAAAGGTTGAAGGACTTAGTTTTAATGAGCCATGTATCTTTCTCTAATGTTCATTAATCGAAAAGTAACGAAATTAACAAGGAGCATGGGTGCCGCCATGTCACCAAAATGGCAGTACTTCCAGGACTCCCTATCAAGCGGTCCGAGTGACTGGACATGGCAAACTTCGGCTATCTCCGTCTCTCAACATTGCAGAACATTTTCCCCAATGGAATGTAAAAAATTGTTGGAAGCCTTTCTCTATATTGTGCTTTTGCGATGCGCCATGATCCTGATGTGAAGATGAGCTTCTCATTCTCCCTACCGATAGACGGGGATTCGTAGAAGCGCAGCCTATATGCGAAATGAGGGAAATCTCGAGACAAGGATGCTAAATTCATGGCCACAGTAAACCCTGAATGGAGATTGATGGCACAATACGTCAAGTCAATCTCCTGCGACCCATGACCGAAGGAAGGGTGGGTGGGGAAGTAGGTGCGGTAAAGGGGGGAATTCCTTCCCGTTACTATAACCCATTGGTGATTGAGTGGTGCTCCCCTCGTACTGTCTCGCCTTCCCCACCTTTTTCCGCACCATTTCCTTCCCTTAGTTTCTCTCGGAACATCTGAACGTTTTACAGGTTTCGGGATGGAGTAAGTGTCTTCCACTCCTGTCCTTGCCAGCCTGATGCAGTTGGCACTGATGTAAGCTGTCCCAGTCTGTAACAATTATGTGTCCTTTTTTTTACATCCATGAATTAATTATAGACGCGCATTCGATGCTCCATGATCTAAGAATAAACTAATACATTTACCAATACATGCGGTCAAACTCGTTGATATTTTAAATTGCTGTTTTAAAATAGCTAATAAAATACATATGGATTAGAAAATACGACGCTCTTCATGCTCGCTTCACTTCCCAACGAACTGAAACATCTCATCACCATCATTGTATCAAGCGATTTCTTTCCTTTCCTCGTTTATTCCAACCGCGTTTCATGCAATTTAACCCTTTCAGACCTGGCGTCCATTCCAATGGACATTGCATTTACATTTATGGCAACTTCTCAAAATTCTCGTGCCTTTGCGTTACATATTACGCTAAATTGGGCGTATTTATGCATGGCTCAGTTCCATCAGAGGCCTTCTCTTACCCTTTACTATTTAATCTTCATTTATTTAATTAAATATTTAATATATAATATATGGTATGATGTAAATTTATGCAAAATATGAAAACTATGTAAAAAGCACATTTTCAATTAAAATCACAAAAAGGCTCAAAAATGCAAAAAAAAATCATTCCCAAAATTCAGGTCTGAAAGCGATAATGAGATTAAACTGCTGCACCTTTTTTCCTTAAGGAACTCGCGCATTTCTATGGGAGGTTGTGCGCTGGGATCCGATAAAATAATACAACGATTGCCTTATGCAGAGTAATCGAGAAGTCGCGTCACCCAAAATAATTATTGGCGGCTATTGTAGGTCTTTTGAATACACACAACAGGTTTGTGTATATACTTTATATTGGGCTGTGTGTACTCTTACCACTAAGCCTCCAAACTGAAGTCATGGGTGGTAGCTTACTGGGACTAGGTTCCGGAAGAATAACAAGTTCATGTGATGCTCCCTTTAGCCATTAAAAGATTCCCTTTGAGTTGCACGACTTCCACATCACCCTGTGGAAGGTGAGACTGTTTCGTGTATTTCGAGGACGAGCCCAGCTTAAACTCAAATGGGAGACGCGTAAATTGTCGACATATTCTGTGCCAGGGCAGGCAGATCTCAACTGCACAAGATGTAAATATTCGTATGGACTGAGAACACAATCAATCGCTGATCCATGATCTTGGCTCACCACTGCATGGTTTCTCATGTCTTGAGCATTATACTGCGCTACCGTGCCGTGTAATGCAATACATTATATTTCCACTTGGCTATTCCACGAAATGACTCCTAATTTTTTCAAGTGGGGATGAAATGCTTGTCTTTACGGCGTATATTATTTACACCATGATGGGGTAATGCCTATGCCAACTCAATTGCAGAAAGCCTCTTTGAGGAATTGTTTGTATTGATTTGAAGAAAGGGCTTAAGAAGAATGATGTGGATGAGAAGGGTATTTGTCTCCATTTCCCAAAGGCCTTTACTTATTCACGAAAGCCCTTTTAAAATGTCATCGACGTTACAGAACCTCATCAGTTCGACATGCAGCAGCTCCGGCTTCTCGTCTGGCTGCTCCTGATGGGGCCCATCGAGACCATCGGAATTCTTGACCTTCAGCTCGATCCGGTGTCGTATGATATTTTTCCCCCCGTAATATTTTTCACCACCTCCCTTAATGGAAATGAAGGGAGTTCGTTTTAAAACGTAGAATTGTAAGTTTGTCGATTGTCAAAAGAGAAAATAATATTTACTCTCAGAAACTGACCAAACGATATCATAGCAGAACAACCTCCTGCAGGGGACGATGTTTCTTCCTCCCTGCCTTCATGTCAGCTGCCCTTCATTTACCTTTTACCTCCGTTGCCTGGAATCTTTGATGTGGCTTTTAAGATCACTCCAAAGAGTAGAGGCTTAGACGTTAGCGAAGCAGATGGGGCCGCAAAAGGAACACTAAAAGGCACGGAAGAAATAGTCGCCAAGGAACGAGGCGAAGTTCCTTCATTTCCTTCATTAAGGGAGGTGGGGAAAATTATTACGGGGGGAAAATATCATACGACACCGGCACCCAGGCCATACGAGGCTCTAGTGGCGTGGATCCTGCGGAGACTGAAATATGATTACTACCCCGTCGTCTATCGGGATGTCGGGCTGGATGACGATGACGGGCTGGGATCGGAGGTGCCCTACGAGGTGGCCACGATGGAGTTCCAGATGGATGCGGGTAGGGTTCCTCAAGTGGACGTGGATGCCTGGGATAGGGGCTCGGCCGTGCCACACGTCTACATCTTCCTCACAAGGGACAGTCGGCTCCTAAATAAGGTATGTCATTATATTGGGAATTGTAGAGAGAAGACTCGGCTCTGCATTAAAAAAATGTTGTTTGAAAAATGGCTCGTTTTTCAAATTAAAAAAGCGGATCGGTTTATATGAAGTTTGGGAAGGTAATGAAGGTAGAAATAAGGTGAATAAAAAATAATTACTTCTGTAACATGTGTTAACATTAATTATTTCCATAATTCACATCATTATTGTCCTAAAGGACTTCACCGCTACTATTGACGCAGATGATTATCAAACTTAACGAAAAGCAGTGCCCAACTACAGGGTATAAGATAAGTAACTCCTTAATTTTAAATTCATTCATCTCTTTCGTTTTTCCACGCAACGTAAAAAAGCAAACTTCGAATGATGCACCTATTAGTGAGATTTTTCTTCCTGCAAACTTCACATTTCCGCGTAGGTCTCTGCATTTTCAACACATTTCCTTAAGCCAACAGGTATGTTCCCACGGCTGATCGTAACAGATGTCGAGGAATGTGGTTTCGTTGAATATTGCTGATTCTTTCTTCCAGTCAATGAATATTTCTGGTAAGTTCCGTAGTGAAGGATGTTGAGGATGATAAGGCCATCACGACCATCATGAGGATAATGGTCGTGAACAAGCCACCGCGACTGTCCCCTTCTTCACAGCTTTTCTCCACTTTTTCATGGTCCCTTATCGCCGCCTGGAGTGGGATGATCATAGGGTTCACTGTCTTCGTCACGGGTATCAGGCGCGTCCCGGTCGATAGGGACTCCCACGTCGTGAGAGAGCGTGGACGCCTACCTCGTGTCCATCATGTTCCCGAAGATTTCCTTGCTGCAGGAGTTGTTCGATCGGGTCATACGGAGTCTCGTGGATATGGGCATCGTCGACCACTGGCTGGACATGGCTCAGTTCCGGATCCGACTCCGTAGCGTCCAAAACATCGTCAAACGAGCTGACAGTTATTCGGAGGCGAGTCGCGTGGAGGAGCTGGCGCCTTTGGGGATATCTCATCTGGTCGGGGCATTTTACTTCCTGATTGCCGGCGAGGCGATCGGGTGCATTATTTTCTTCGTGGAGGTCTTCGTCGGAGCACGGCTCCCTTCTGTCCGATCTGCTCCGGCGCGACCAGGCCTGGCTCTTGCCAGGACTCCCCTAGTACCGACCAACTCTTTCCACCTTTCGTCCGATATTTGACTTTCCACCCGAGCCATGAAGAGGCCTCTGGAATGCCCGAATCTCCGAAAAGATCAGAGCGCTGCACATCCTAAAAGCACTATATTTTCCCCGCTATATATTTTAGATTTGTGTACGTTGCTGTGGTAGATTCCCACACCCTTGCGAGTGCGGAGACACGTGCACATTCACTCCAGTTTACTGCTTTTGTCATTAGCCTGCCTAAGCACCGAGGAGCATATGTAAAAGTAAAATACCAATTTATGGGACACTCTTCTTCTTAGCTATGGAGTTTCTCTCAGAACAGGTCGTAACTTCAAATGAGTCATTTGTCCTTTCTCCCCCTCTCCATATTTTAACGTGGCAATTTCTGCGAAGTTATCCTTCCGTGTCATGCATGAACTTTCTAAATTCTTCAGGATTGCATTGAATATATGAGAATACAATTCTATTCTCATCAACCAAGAAACAAGCCATAACCATGCAAAATGTCTTCATGTCGTTGCTGGCGGACTTTGGGCTAAAGAGAATCTCTGTTATAAAACTATATCGGTGTCAGCTCATCACTTTTCCCCCTTCAATTGCAAGTAAAAAGCAAAAATTAGCGGATTTTGCATTAGTATGAATTTCAAATAATTATGGGCTCGAATTTTACTTTTTCTCCATTTCCACCGGATTATAAACTAAATATACTGATGAAATAAGTAGGTTTCTGCAATTTAGTTTCCATAGAAGTCTGCGGAGACTCGTGGCATGCTGGATGACATGCGATCCACATTACTTAAATTCATTTTCATGAGCAGTTAAGAAATTCACCCTTTCCAAAAATCCGAAATATTTTCTTTTCATCCGTTGGTAAAGAATACATTAATTTTGAGAAAATCGGCTTCCAGTGACTCCTCGGGTAAATTTTGTACAACTTTATTAGGAGTCACTGAGCGAATGTCTCGTGGTATACTTGTAGGGTAGTCATCCTACTCCTTGAGAAGGGAAGAGTTTAAATTCTGATGATCTAAAAATAGTGTTGCTACTCTATAACATTCACAGTATCACAGAATATTTGAATTCCTGCATAATTTGCCTTTTATATTTTGAATGCGATTGTTTTAAGAGAAAGGAACCACCACTTACATATGGATAGTCCAGTATAATGCAATTATTTGGGCACTCATCAAGCTTTAGATTATTTCTGATTTTCCTCTTCATATGGATAAACAAAGTTATTATATGAAGAGTTGAATGGGCAAATTGAAGTTAAAAGTACATTCTTGCATCTCTCCTATATCCATTTAAGTCATTCAGAAAGGCTCACCGGATTGCATGACAGAGTACAGATTCTCAATATGCACATAGTACAAGCATGACAGCTGTACACTTTACTGTAATGTCAGTGTCACATTCAATCTGTCCTAATCGTGAATTATAATCTCTGGATTTGTGAATGTCATCTGCTACCTGTGTTTTCTAATTTTGCAGTTAATAGTGACTGATGTTTAACCGTTGGCGTCGGGGCGGTGGCGCCATCCCCACTTTCGGCTAAGTCGATCCCTCTGGATTTTCAAAGTAATTATTGGAATTAACAGTATATACATTGAAGTTCACGTATGCAAAATATTATGTCGAAGGTCGCTCTCCAGGTCAATCTCGCGGTGTAACTTATTCCAATGTAAGGTTTCCTGGGTTCGAATCCCTCGCGTAAATATACGTCTATCACGTTAACATAGGCTGACGGGTATATGCCGCAACCGGCGCTTAATGGTTAAAGAATATGAGTGTGAGGAGCTGAAACTACATGAGTGATCATCTGATGAATTAGCGGATTATGTCCTTTCTTTGGTTGTGGTTCGTGTTGATATTCTGGAAATTTAATATGAGGAATTAATTGTCGGAAATGGCTAAAGCGATAAATCTCTTATGTTGAAGAATTTGTTGGTTGGATTGCATTGCTTGCGAATCTCTACGAGGGAAGAAGTCATTGCAAAAGCCTCAGAGAATAAAAGTTTCCACCTCTAGGTTTAATCCACCTAGATTATATTCTCATTTCTTCAAGTCTACGTATATTTTCAACGATTACTCAACGTTTCCAGGTCGACCAGCATCAACGCGTGTTCAAAGTCTATTCAGCGTCGCTGTGCCACGTGGGAGGGTGAGAATCTTTATTTCGGTAATAGTTAGTCACTTCATGGCACGAAGAGCATCTACTCCGTTTCAAGCCCTTACTGTTCACAAATCGAAATGCGGTGGAATGTCATTCGTGCAGCCCTGTCATAACATCTCGAAGTTTTACTCCCATGGTGGCATCGTGCAATCGGAAGTATGCTCCACCGAGGAAATTCGCGTCGCGAGTGTCTTCATCGCATGCCTACGATGTTTGATTTTTTCGGCCACAGCATGCCTCGATTATACAACAGTGAAAATGTCTGTGAGGACGAAAGAAGAGCATCGGGTCCGAAGTCCATGAACAGTCGGCATGCAAATGGAGGGGCCAGAGTAATGAAGTTCCGTGGGAGTCAGACCTAAAATTGGGTCCATTCGCTTTGGAAAGCCACGTGAAGCAATTTTGCAATTGCAAAGAAAATCAATAGCTAATTTCGGGAATGACAACGAGCCTCCCGGATATTGATGAGAGAGTTAGCCGGAGCAGTTTAACAATCAAGTTTTCATGGGTCGAGCGCATGCGAGACAAGAAAAAAAATCCCAACAGCATGTTGTCTCTGACTTTCCCCATTCACGGGCGCATCAAAAAAGCCTGGGTGGGATCTACAGTGTGTTTGAGCGAATGGTGTGAGTAACGCTCACAGGATGCGGTTCTTCTTCGTATTGAATATCTCTTTCTGTTCGAGCGAACTTTGAACCGAAGATGGTGGAGAAACCTTCCAATGGACACCACATTACTTACACTACTTACAGCTATTACTTACAGCATATTGAGAGTATATCATTTCCACGCGGAGCTAAAATTATCTTCGCTTGAGGTCTTAGTGCTGCCCGTTGAAACTCGTTTGTGCACCAACGCCATTTCCCGAGGAATCTCATTTTGAGTTTATGGCAGTGACCGAATATTACCGCAGGCAAGTGCATTCGTCCCTCGTTTCTGAAGTGGCCTTTCAAATTCGGAGCAGCTTTTGAGAACGCAATTTCATGATTTTGGAGCTGAAGAACCCCATCAATATAATGAGGCAAGCACAGACCCTCCTGTGTCTGGTCGTGCTGGTTCTCATCGAAGCAGACGACACACACGACCGTCGCATCGACCAAGACCATCTATCCGGCCCAGACGAAGCTCTTCTGGGGTGGATCTTACGGGGGCTGCAGGGTGACTACTACCCCATCGTCTATCGGGATTCTGAGCTGGATGGCACGGACGGTCTGAGAAAAGGAGTGCCCAGCGATGTGGCCACTGTGGAGCTCCGTATGGATGCATCGAGACCACCCCGAGTGAACAATGGAGTCTGGGATGAGGTCTCGGAGTTATATCATGCTTTCATATTCCTCTCTCGCAATGACCGACTCATCAACGAGGTCAGTCACCCCTTCAATTACTGACTACAAGAAAAAAAAAGTATTTATTAAGAAACTAATTAAGATCAATGAGGTAATAACTTCTTGAGATTCTATACGCGAACAGACGTACGACCAGGGGGACAGGAGATGGATTTGGAACCAGGTGGATTTTCCACCCAATGTAAATCAATCTGGTTACTTGTGCATCCGTTTACGAGCGAAATTAATGGCCCCAATGTGGATTTTCAACTGGGTGGACATCGCTCCAACGTGTGGAAATACGCCAAAAGTGAAATCCGCCTGGTTCCAAAACCACCTAGTGCGTGGATGCTTTGTAAATGATAGGTTCCGCCGTTTCTGATCTGCTTACAAATTCCCGGGTAAAATCACGCTGTTTCACTATATCGAAGGTGATTCTTCAAGATCTGAAGTACTGGACCCACACAAACATTCTAATAAAAGCCTCAAGAGTGATGAAGACGTATGCATAAAAAAGAATAAATGGATTTCTGCAAATGAAGCAGAAGTCACGCGAGACAGAAATGCGCCAGGGTTATTGCTAAAACTCCCGGAAAATGGTCACGAACTGCAGCATGCACGCGAACCTTGAGGAACTTGAGGAAATTTCTTTAAAACTGATGTTAAACCTGGCGGTTTGTGACTACTGGTTGTGCGGTTTTTTGAAAGAGAAGGTTTATGCTAGAAAATTCCGCGACAGACCTGACCTCATCAACGCCGTTTCCACCAAACTGAATGACATAAGCTTAGACACGTGACAGAACGCAGTGGATGAACTTTCCCCAGCGATGCCGTGCGTTTCATGAAAATTTCCAGCTCAAATTGGTTCCCAATTTGAGCTGGAAAAAGTTTGAAGCTCTGCTTCCTTATTCTGCTAGATGCGAGATGCTATACTCTGAAATGAATATAAATAAAATTTCGATGCGTCCATTCACTTAATCCTAGTCTCCGTCCAAACTTGGGTCGGTGTTTCTGAGACACCCTGTGCATTGAAACAACATGGATTCAATATTTTGTGCCACTTGTTATGTCTTCCTGGAAGATTTCTCAGAGCTCTAGACTTCAAGTTCTGTTAAACAGCTCTAGTTACTAACAACATCAATAAGCAATTTGATATCAGTATCGCTTAGCCGTTGTTGTCGTGTTTGCAGACCAACTCCGTCGAAAGAATGTAATTTTATTGTGCTTCTACTTGATTCGAGCAATGTGCGCTTGATCATGGCGTCAAAACGATTCCCCACACAAAAGCACCTTGAGAGTGACTTCCAATCTGAAAATGTTGAACATCAGAAGCGATGTCATTTGCTGAAATTCGGAGGAAAAGTTGAATTTGACTTATGCTTCATCTCTGCAGACCCTGGAATCCAACGCCATACTTTTGGGTAGTCCTTCCAAGACTTTCGTGTACTTGGAAAACCTAAGCAAACCCATCGTCGTATCCTACTACTCCGCCTTCCCAGGGAAGAACCTCTACTTCTTCGGATATGTGCATTTGCCAAACAGCCGTGCGGGTCACTCGGCCCTGTCCTTCCGAGTCTACAATCGCTGTCTCTACTGTCACGACGGGAAACCGGGGGTCGTGCTCGTCGACGGGGTTTCCTGGGCACCTGGCAAAGTTTCGCAGTCGAAGATGATCCCACGGCCCAGTTTCGCTGGGAACTTCTATGGAGCGAGGTGAGAGGTGATCGTTTCCTACTCGACTCTCCGACGTAATTCGTTCCCTCTCGAATAACGTTTTAATTCTCGCGGGAAATGTACCAGTAGCCTTCGTGGGTTCAACAGGTGTCGAGAAACACGTAGATGCTTGAAAATATTATGTCAAGAAACAAGAAATCCCATTTGGTGGCATTGAAAATAACTGAGAATGAAAAGGCAAATATTAGGGGTGTTTAATAAATAAGGTAATAAGGCTTGCTGTGCATAAGTTATTGTTTGTGCCGAGGAACTTTTTTGGTAACACAGTACAGTGACGGTGAGGCTTGCATTGCACGAGCGCATTGGTCGCTGTGGAATAATGCGCATGCGCAAAATGCCAGCTATGATGGTGGTCTCACCTATAAACGTGGTGAAAACTTGAAGTGCAGAGTGCTACGTATTACCAAAACAGAAATTCTGGAAGCAGAGCCCTCATGCTCATTCACATTTCACCTTAGCGTATGCAGTCACAGCTCTTCAATGAACGCTCCACATATGCCGGGCAAGGAAACGAATAAGTCATCGACCCATGAAGATCTGTCAGTCATCAGTTGCATCTGACTATTCCTTTAAAAGTTATGACCAAAGTTCGACGGTTGCAAGCCGCCATCCAACTTTGTTTAACCATATCTTTTGAAAGGAAGCTCGGATGCAATTGATATTCGGTAGAGAGATCAATGGGACTAAGCAGTTTTTCCCTCATCCTTAAAAAATTACATACATAAGTAGATAGGTGACTCTGCGGTCAACATCTGCGCCCTCTATTGGCCTGCAGCGCCATCTTGCGCGATGGAAAAAAAACCTCCTTGATTCATGAACCTCTCTGCCAAATATCAGCTGACTCTGACTGTCCTTTATCAAGTCATATTTCATCAAAATAGGGTGGTGACTTCATGATAACCCTGAATTTGCCTACATGTTTCATAATTTCGACATCAGTGGGGTATTAGCATAAAGATTATAAGAGAGCTTCAAAAATGAATTTTGATTCATTCATTAGGAAATTTTACAAAGTATCCGTGTATTGAAGAGCTCACGAGACATTGCAAGATGCATATTAAACATAAAACATTCGTGGCACAGACAGCCTGGGAATGTCGAACATGGGTAGAACCGAGGTCTTCACGAGTGAACACTGGACACTCTCTTCCACGTTCGAACGGCGCCGTTGCATGCCTTTCCGCTTCAATCGGTTTTTCGATGTCTCACAGGCTTCGCATTGGCACCAGCGAGGGGGAACCCCACGTCTTCTTCCCGAAAGAAAAGGCGCCCGGCTCGACGACTCCGGAGGGCTACGCCGTGGACTTGCTCAACGCCCTGGCCGAGAAGCTCAACTTCACCTACGACTTGGTCGTCTCTGAGGACGGGGTCGGCGGGTTTCTCGACGTCAACGGCACCACAGACGGCCTCATCGGCCTGGTCCAGCGGGAAGAAGTGGACTTCGGCATCTCGGGATTGCTCGTCAATTTTCTCCGTTACCAATATGTCAGATTTTCCACCCCGTACATTGTAGACCGGCTTGTTATGATCGTTAACAAGCCTCAGCAGGTGTCCATCTCTACGCAATTCTTCGCCGTTTTTTCCTGGACATTTACTATCATTTGGGTTGTTACGATTGTATGCTTCACATTCGTCGTTATGGGCATCAGCCGTATATTATCCCCCGACGTTTCGCCAGTGGAACCACATTGGGTCATCGTGATACGGGCGTTCACCTGCGTATCGGCTCCCGACGGGACCCACCTCCGTCACGTCTCTTATCGGATAGCTTTTGGTATCCTCTGGATTGCCATGCTCATATTTTACGTATTCTACCAGGCCTCTCTTCTGTCGATGTTAAACGTAAAGGAATACGCGCGTCCCGTGAATACCATTCGGGACTTCCAGAAAAAAGGTCTGAAATGGCTTGTGAACGAGGGCAGCGCGTATGACCTCTACTTCAAGAGGAATTCTTACATGCAAGCCGCGAAAGTCAGATACGATGAGAAAACCTCTGCCTTGGACATCATGATGGAGAAGCCACATACGTACGGAACTATGAGCGACACGATCAGGTTCGAGAAGAACCTGAACAATTATCTGCAGGCCGATGAATCTCACCCGTTTCGACAGCTGCGCGAGGACGTGGACATATACATGGTGTCCATCTCGTTCCCAAAGACGTCGCTGCTTCCGAAGAATTTCGATCCAGTAATCTGCCGACTTGTGGAAGCGGGAATCGTGAATCATTGGCGCGAGATGGCGCAGTTTCGGATCCGGATCCGTCAAGTCAAGGAATTTGTCACGCGGAAGCGGAACTACCCAGAAGCGGGAAGCGAGGAGATGTTTTCCAGATTAGGGATGGATCACCTCGTGGGAGCATTTTACCTTTTAGCGGCTGGCGAGGCGATCAGTTGCTTCGTGTTCTTTGTGGAAATCTTCAACACGTGGCGACTGCGACGGATTTCTGGCAGGAATCGACATTAGGTTTCACCTCATATATTCGATGGATACCTTGACCTCCATGTTCCCCTACTTAACCTGTGGTAGATGCGCGCTGGGTGAACTTTCTAATCTCGAAGTAAACAACTTTAGTGTACTACCTTGGAAAAAATTGTATTAAAAAGTAGGTATAGCTGGTTTTCGAAAGGATGAAAAAATGAGATCAATGAATCCTTGCACAAACTTCAAAGAGCATGAAGGCTAGACAAGTAACAAGCATTATCATTCTATAACTTTGCTTGAAGATGTGAAACATTCTAAAAATTTAAGAAATTGCTACTCATTCCCACTTGAGACGCAGAAAAAGTAATGGAATGCATAATGGTTGTCTTGATACTCCCTTTAAAATGAGGTAATGACCAGCTTCCTAAGTGAAGTAGTTTCAGAAATGTTGCTCTTTGCCATGTTACCCTCGTCCAACACTAAATATCCTCAAAGACCGTCGTTCCTAGACTGCTGACGTTTTAGGATTTCTTAGTTCCACAAAACCCCAAGATAAAACCCCCTCGACGTTTTCCCACTGGAAAATCCCATTCCGCAGAGCAATCAACCTCTCAAAGAAATGTGTCCACCACCACAGGCGCAGACCACTAAGGGTCCATTTTTTCCTTGCAGTGCATCAGGCCGCTGAGAAAATTAGATTAGTTTTCGTGGGAACTCAAGTTCCAACCCCAGTGATATTTGTTATCGTATCGTGCTGTAATTGAGTCGTATTCATGACCGATTTCATTTTCGCATTGGTGTTTTGTTCCTCTAGCACTGTTTCCCAGACTTCTTTGAATTGTGACCAACTTGCTGACGTACAGAAAATTCCTTTCCAATTTTCTGGAGTTACTGTTTTTTTGACACAGAAACACGCTCAATTTCGTTCATGATGGTGCTCCCAGAGAGGAAAGAGAGGAGTTTGAATTTTGGTAGTAGGCGCTACCGCGCATATTGATTTGATTTGGTCTCCAATATCATGGATTTCAGCTTTTCATCAACAATGGTCCAGCCCTAATCGAAAGCAGGCACAAAATGTTAAAATATTCCTTTTTTATTTTATCGCTGGCTCCATTTCCCGGTCTTATTCCTCCCTGACAACTATACTCACCGCCCAAAAAAAAGTGATGGCAAGGGGTGTCACATGCACAGGACGCAATGGGTCGGATTGCATTAAGTCATTGCAGTCACCTTGATTGAGAAGGCTGCTGCGCAGATAGGTTCTTTGAAAACACCTTCAGGTCAGTGAATAGAAGTTACAGCTCCTTCGTGTTAAGGATGCACCAAATATGGGTTGATAAGTGGAAGTCGCGTGACGAAATCAGATCTAATTTATAATGGAGTATTTCAAATAAAAAGGAGCCATTTTTGAATAATGAAGGTAATTAAGGAAAACCAGAATGAGAAGGAAATTTACTTCCCTGAACAGAAACCCGATTCCGACGTGGAATTGGAATTTTGCGGAAAATGAGAGGAAAGCTCCATTACTCGCTTTAGTTGGAGGGATCGATTCCGAGGTTTTTCTTGGAACTGCATGCTTACGTTAAAAAATAGGAGACGTGGTTAATGCTGAGAATCGTAATCCCCTACTGCAGGCATTAGACGGAAACCCTGTTTCCGATGCATTAGTTGCAATTATTTTTTACAGTAGAACTGTTTGTACCGGAATGTTCGTCTTTTCTGGAAGGATTATTACTGATCGTCACCCCTTAGGCAAACGTGCAATTAGGGCGTTTTCTTTATTTTCCTTTCCAGGGGAAAAGAACACCCCAAGTATTGAACAAGCTGCTAGATATGGGAACAGAAACAGTGAATGAATTTATCATGATTGCTAAGAAGATAGAGGAAACAGAGCCTGGGTGCATTGGGAAGAAGCTATATCATCTACGTGTCTTGGCGAGCCCATACATCACAGCACAGGACTTCCTGGTATGATTAATATCATGTCCGTAATTGCATACCCAACAAACTTTTCTTATTGGTCTGACAAAGTCAAGTGATCTATCTGGATTTTCCGCTTTTCTGAGGTTTTAGACTTGTAAAGGTTATGCAATGGTTTGTTACCCGTAATATTAAAAAGAAGTAAAGCTTATCCGAATGTTCATAATCAACCTAGTCCCTCAAATCAATGTACAATGTCTCTTTAGATCAAGTGCTTCAGAAATCCCCCATTCCCCAACAGATTCTTATTTTTATTTTTTTTTTGATATGAACATCCTTTTTCCAAGATTGTCTTCAAAGAAGATATTACTCTCTTGAAACATTTGGTGCATTTTTAAGGATTCCTGTGAACTTGAAGGAGTACCATATCACGCTAGTGATCCTGAACAATGCAAATTTACATCTAAAATTCTATCACGCAACAGGAAAACATCAAGAAGGTGGAGAGCAGCACAGACTTGAAAAAACTAGGAGAAAAGCTGGAGAAGGTATCTCAGATCCGACGGCTGACAGCATCGTTCATGAAGTTAGTTTGCATTTTCCTGGGTTAGAAGTACAAATTATTTTATTTTACAGAGTATTTCTCTAAAAGGTTGGCAGGGGTGAGCGAAGATGAACTAGAAACCTATTCTAGTCATCTCACGGAACACGCCTTGGAACCATACCTTAAAATGAAAAACGCAGAAAAAAACCTGGAATGGAAAAGTTATGTACAGCGCTGCACGAATGGTGAAATCAATGAAACAATGCGGAAAGCTCCAGATTACGAAGTCAAGATGATCCTAGGAAATGTATTTCGGCTCCCTGATGGTGTTTTCAAAGAACCTTTCTGCGCAGCAGCCTTCTCAATCAAGGTGACTGCAATGACTTTCTTGGTATGATTATTTTGCCTGCAGGTCCAACATAATTTGCATATGTAATGACTTTTCTCAGAGCTTTGATGAGGCAAAAGAATGTATGTTGGGACTTCAGGAGCACCAGACCCTTCACAAAGCACCAAGGGAAATACCCATCGCCTTCATAACCGAGGAGATTGTTGTTGCTGCTGCGATACAGGGAGCACTTGTAGGACCACAATCAAGGACCGGTGTGGTAATCGTTAATGCGGCTCCAAGAAAAGGTGACATATTCAAGTTCTCACTAGCATAGCGAAAGTGGACAAAATTTATGATGTGAAGTTATTTTGCTCATCAGGGAGCCTCTTCACTCAGCGCCATTCCTACGCCGTGATTTGCAGCGGATCAAGGATCCAGGGTCTGGCCTCATCCATCCTTACAGTGAGGGACGTTTTGACAAGCTTGAAGGCAAAAGACGGATGGATGCTTTCCAATGTTCGACTCAGTCAGTATATTTCCGGTTATTTTATTTTCCATTCACTTCTCTTGACTGGCTGAGAAAATGAAATAGGGACTAAGCTAATTTGATTCGTCATTTATTAAATTAATATGGCTCGTATCAGGTCAAATGTCACCAAGAACTTGTTAAATCAAAACTTTGACCTTTTTATTTAAAGCGGTTCTCCGAACTGAAGTATGATAAGTGAAGTTCTCATTAAAGGCCCAAAGGATGAATATGAACAGTTATTGGAAATACTGTCAAATGTCACCAAGAACTTGTTAAATCAAAACTTTGACCTTTTTATTTAAAGCGGTTCTCCGAACTGAAGTATGATAAGTGAAGTTATCATTAAAGGCCCAAAGGATGAATATGAACAGTTATTGGAAATACCACTCAAGAAATGATCAGATGTTAACCCAATTGCAATAGCTATCGCTCTGGTTCTAGATATAGTTATCAAATAGGTATCTCAGCATTAGCGTTATATAATAATGCGATCCCAGCACAAAATTAGTTGATTCATTACATTTACAATGAATGAATGATATTTAATAATTGCCATTATCTATTGGGCCCTTGCTAGTTATTATCAATCAGTCCCAGAAATATAATTCCAGAACTTTTATTGCAGGATCTATTCATTGTAAGTTGGCTTGCAGGAGTGGCTTTAGGTGTTTCTCTGATGTTTCAGCATTATATAGCAAGCGAAAAAGCATCCTTTCTCACCTGCCAAAAAGCCTCGATAACAAAATAAGCTAATAAATTATTCCTTGGCAGTACGGTCAACACTGAAAATGTATGGTACATTCGTCCGGTGTTCTAAGCTGGAATTTTTTATTCATAAATTCTAACACAGGGTCATGGGAACTTCCCTCCACTTCAAAGATCGCCTCTCTTGTTAATCTGGAGTTCGAAGATCGTACGAGGGGACGGACATCAGGGATTCCATCCGAGTCGAACACAGCCCAAGATCTCATAGAATCGCCTGACAGCATGTCTCCGGAGAGGATAGAGGCGCTTCACACAATAGAATCTGACACCCACTGAGTCATTACCTAGTCTCAAATAAAATCACATGACCCCCTGAGTATCCCCCTAAAATCTTACTGTTCCACGCCTTTCTGTTCCGGAAATATTGAACTTCAAATGTGTATTTTTTTTTATGGACACCCTATATATTGCGACGGTTCCTGCTCTACAGAGGAGAAATTGCACAATATGGTCCACAATTGTGAACCCATTATTTAAAATAAATATAAATACTTATATTTCCACTTCTACAAATACAATTGTCCTCGACAAATTGGAGAGCGAAACTAGGACATAGCATGACTATAATAGTGTTTAATATTTTGTCCTAGAGGTCAAGGGCTGAATTCCCGTTAGTAACGTAGTCAGAATGAAGTTTCGATTTTTGTGAAACCCTGCAAAAGCATGAAAGGGATAATTAAATGGCGGGAAAGTAAGATTAATAGGACCACCATACTGCATAAGAAGACGGGGTTGACTGAAAAATTGAGGAATTGGAAGATGGAACATTCTTATGCTTGAATCTTACAATGGCAGTCAATGGTGAATTTTTACAATGGTGAATTTTTTATGGGAAATCTCATTTGCACTTGCAAATGTACGGACTCGCGTCTACATCACCTCTCCCTTTACACTGTCCCTTTTTGATCTGGAAAAGATGGTCTATCAATGTCAGAATGAAGCAAAATGTTTACACGAAATGCTTAAAGGAATATTCTATTGCAGAAGCACGGACTTACTCTTTGACTTATTCCGCCAATTTATTCTCAGTTGCCGGAAATAATCCCTTTTCTCCACGAAGGTCATGAGATTTTTTTACCGGCCGCTCAATTTCGCCTCCTCAATCAATTCAGTATTCAGATTTCCCGATGTTGTACTTACTGCATTGGGGATGACTAACTCCTTCGCTTAACAAATCGTTTCTTCGCTCCATAATTCGTTTTCACGGATTATGAATCAAATGTGACCGATATGTGCCCATGTCATTAAAAGCCCAGGACAGTGAACGAGAAAATAGATGACAGGAGGCACATATCGGTCACATTTGATTCATAATCCGTAAAAACGAATGGGAATGTACGAAGAAGTCACACGGCAGGAGAGGAACAGAAAATATTCAAAAAGGGACAGTGTAAAGGGAGATGTGATAAAGATGCGACCCCGTAAATTTGCATGAGCAAATGAGATTTCCCATCGAAAATTCAAAGCTTCACGATTTTCCCCTTGACGGAAAATCTCAGTGGCACAAACATCTTCAAGTGAAACTATTGTTTTCCAAATGACCCCTCCTAGGAGGATGAGTGCTCCCCGAATGAATCTTCCATGCCTCCAGACATCTCAGATCATGATTCCGAAGTCCGCGCGAATTGGCGTAGACAGTCCCTCTGTGTAGGTTTTATTATTATCTTACATTTCCGTCGTTCTGACTGGTTACAAACACTGTTTCCGCCTCAATAAATGATCTATGAGCGATGGATGCGCTGAGATTTTCTTATTCTTAAAAATGACCTTTTTTTTTGCCGAAGTACAAAAAGCGCCCCCTCATCGACAAAAGGAAATCATGTATGGAACATTCGCCTCATACACGAGTAAATTCGGTAAGAGGAAACTTCAGTCCCTTTCATTGAGTTCAGGCGCGTTCCTTAGCACACTTGCTCTTTTGACATCGCACGGGAGAAAAATTGTTACTCACGTAATTTACAATCAATTTCAATGAAATATTAACCGATCTCATAGTGATGACTCGGCCGCTCCTAAGTAATTCATCCGCCACGGACTCCCGTTTTGAAATGAGGCGCACAGAGTGAAATTGGGACGCTCAGTAATTAGATGGAGGACGGAAGGATGGTTTGCATCATCAGAGACTCCCCATTTCCCTTTTCAGTGAGTTGCGTCTCATGGGACTCTAAAGCGAACATAATTTTCAAATTTAAACATACATGCTTTCAACCAATTATAAGAGGATCCGTCTCGTCTTTAGGGAAACCCCAATCGCCTGTTTGCAAATGTTCATTGAGTTCCACTTTTTAGCTTTAAAATGAGACCCATCGTTTCAATTTAAGAACGTCCCAGAAGAATTGGGGAAGATTTTTCGCTCGGCCGGGATGCGGATCGACTCAATAGGATCGATCTGACCCGTGCATCGCGGGCGTGAAGCGAGGTTGACGATCTAGTTTCCGGTAGGGTGCAAGAATATGCGTCATTTCAGACCTCGAGTTCTGAAGCTCAAAGGACAAAACAGGCTTTGGACATGTCCGTTCGGTAATCAGGATTCAGGTCGAGTGCAGATTATGACGTGCGAGCACACAGCCCGGGAAATTGCATGAAAATGGGNTAATCAGGATTCAGGTCGAGTGCAGATTATGACGTGCGAGCACACAGCCCGGGAAATTGCATGAAAATGGGACAATTTTTGGACTTCTGATCCAAGAAGTATCGCTTCCGGTCATAAGCTTTCGATTGACATCTCACCCTTGAAAATCAGTTCATCCATCTTGGGGGAGTATTATGTATATGCCTATGGATGAAAGATGGCCAGGCATCGATTTCACAACCCTAAGAAAGAGGTCTTTTCGGCGTTTAGGGAAATTTTCATTAGTTTCAGATTCCCCAATATATTTGTCTTGCACAGTTTCCCATGCCAAAGCCACGCTTCGCCACCCTGTCTGCTTGCATAGAATATCCTTCATTCTTAGCCGTTCCACACGAAAATGCGTTTATGCGCTGATTTGAGAGGGTCCGTTTGTCTCCCCTTTGCGCAAATACGTCATTAGATACTCATGGGATTTTTGCAATTGGAAGCAAGAATTCATGTTGGCTCCTTCAGGTTTTGGAGTGAAATCATTTATTTTATCCTCCTTCTCCCCCTCCCTCCAATCTTTTATTACTTCACTCCTAAATCCTCGCATGCCATGTCATAGAGAAATGGCTGCACACGAGAATTCCTCTAACATTTGTTTGCACTAAACGGGCTCGATTCCCTTTTCTCCACGAAGGTCATGAGATTTTTTTACCGGCCGCTCAATTTCGCCTCCTCAATCAATTCAGTATTCAGATTTCCCGATGTTGTACTTACTGCATTGGGGATGACTAACTCCTTCGCTTACCAAATCGTTTCTTCGCTCCATAATTCGTTTTCACGGATTATGAATCAAATGTGACCGGTATGTGCCCCCTGTCATTAAAAGGCCAGGACAGTGAACGAGAAAATAGATGACAGGAGGCACATATCGGTCACATTTGATTCATAATCAGTGAAAACGAATGGGAATGTACAAAGTCACACGGCAGGAGAGAAACAGAAAAGATTCAAAAAGGGACAGTGTAAAGGGAGAGGTGATGAAGATGCGAGCCCGTAAATTTGCATGAGCAAAAGAGATTTCCCATCGAAAATTCAAAGCTTCACGATTTTCCCTTGACGGAAAATCTCAGTGGCACAAACATCTTCAAGTGAAACTATTGTTTCCCAAATGACCCCTCCTAGGAGGATGAGTGCTCCCCGAATGAACCTTCCATGCCTCCAGACATCTCAGATCATGATTCCGAAGTCCGCGCGAATTGGCGTAGACAGTCCCTCTGTGTAGGTTTTTTTATTATCTTACATTTCCGTCGTTCTGACTGGTTACAAACACTGCTTCCGTCTCAATAAATGATCTATGAGCGATGGATGCGCTGAGATTTTCTTATTCTTAAAAATGACTTTTTTTTTTGCCCGAGTACAAAAAGCGCCCCCTCATCGACAAAAGGAAATCATGTATGGAACATTCGCCTCATACAGGAATAAATTCGGTAAGAGGAAAATTCAGTCCCTTTCATTGAGTTCAGGCGCGTTCCTTAGCACACTTGCTCTTTTGACATCGCACGGGAGAAAAATCGTTACTCACGTAATTTACAATCAATTTCAATGAAATATTAACAGATCTCATAGTGATGACTCGGCCACTCCTAAGTAATTCATCCGCCACGGACTCCCGTTTTGAAATGAGGCGCACAGAGTGAAATTGGGACGCTCAGTAATCAGATGGAGGGCGGAAGGATGGTTCGCATCATCAGAGACTCCCCATTTCCTTTTTCAGTGAGTTGCGTCTCATGGGACTCTAAAGCGAACATAATTTTCAAATTTAAACATACATGCTTTCAATCAATTATAAGGGGATGCGTCTCGTCTATAGGGAAACCCCAATCGCCTGTTTGCAAATGTTCATTGAGTTCCGCTTTTTAGCCTTAAAATGAGACCCGTCGTTTCAATTTAGGAACGCCCCAGAAGAATTGGGGAAGATTTTTCGCTCGGCCGGGATGCGGATCGACTCGATAGGATCGATCTGACCCGTGCATCGCGGGCGTGAAGCGAGGTTGACGATCTAGTTTCCCGTAGGGTGCAAGAATATGCGTCATTTGAGACCTCGAGTTCTGAAGCTCAAAGGACAAAACAGGCTTTGGACATGTCCGTTCGGTAATCAGGATTCAGGTCGAGTGCAGATTATGAAGTGCGAGCACACAGCCCGAGAAATTGCATGAAAATGGGTAGACCTCGAGTTCTGAAGCTCAAAGGACAAAACAGGCTTTGGACATGTCCGTTCGGTAATCAGGATTCAGGTCGAGTGCAGATTATGACGTGCGAGCACACAGCCCGGGAAATTGCATGAAAATGGGACAATTTTTGGACTTTTGATCCAAGAAGTATCGCTTCCGGTCATAAGCTTTCGATTGACATCTCACCCATGAAAATCAGTTCATCCATCTTGGGGGAGTATTATGTATATGCCTATGGATGAAAGATGGCCAGGCATCGATTTCACAACCCTAAGAAAGAGGTCTTTTCGGCGTTTAGGGAAATTTTCATTAGTTTCAGATTCCCCAATATATTTGCCTTGCACGGTTTCCCATGCCAAAGCCACGCTTCGCCACCCTGTCTGCTTGCATAGAATATCCTTCATTCTTAGCCGTTCCACACGAAAATGCGTTTATGCGCAGATTTGAGAGGGTCCGTTTGTCTCCCCTTTGCGCAAATACGTCATCAGATACCTTGCGTTCTCAAGCTTAGAGGCGTAAGCGGCCTGCGGGCCGCCCATGCCAGCACACTATTCGCAGCTCGGAGCAGCGAAGCATGGTCAACGATCGCGTTCCGGGTCGGGTGCGGGTCATGATTCCAATCGGGCCGATCGAGTTTCAACTCGGAAATGTCGACCCGTGCAGGCCTCTGACGCGCAGAAAGACAGAAGAACACGTAGAAACCACGTTTGCAGAGTACTTTTTCTATTAATACTTTGACCCAATAAGTATCGCCTCCAGGTCATGAGCTTTCGATTGACAACTCCATTATTAAAATACGTTCATCCGTCTTGGGGGAGTTTCCCGGAATGACAGTATGACAGGCTGATTAGCCTTTTACATATAGGGTGGTTAAAAAAAACCTACCGTTTTCAATGGGAGAAACACTGTTTCATGAAGTAAAAAAAAAATTACATTGAATACGCGATCGATATTTGATTGTTAATAGCTGTTAAACTGCTTGCCTGCTATTTTTCAGCACCCCTGCCTAAATTGTGCAATGCCCATTTACAGGTGAATTAAAGGTGCTTAGAGGTGGAGCATTCCACCTCAAGTGAGGTGATGCCCTATGCTGGACCGTCTCAGAATTCAATGAACTCTTCAACTTTAACTTTTGAAGGGACAGTTGGATCCAGCTGATAATTGACAGAGAGGTTCATGAGTCTAAGAAGTATTTTTCACTTCCGCTGATGGCGTTCATTGAATTCTGAGACGGTCCAGCATAGGGCATCACCTCACTTGAGGTTGAATGCTCCACCTCTAAGCACCTTTAATTCACCTGTAAATGGGCATTGCACAATTTAGGCAGGGGTGCTGAAAAATAGCTGGCAAGCAGTTTAACACCTTTTTAGAGTCAAATATCGATCGCGTATTCAGTGTAATTTTTTTGCTGAATTTATGAAATAGTGTTTCTCCCATAGAAAACTGTTGAGCGTTTTTTTAACCACCCTATATATGGATAGACTCATTTTCCCTAACCTTAAAAACGATTGTCAATGCAATTTATGCAATCACTAGATTCATTTTCATTGTGTAATGCTTCAATAGGTCTATTATTTACAGAGATTCAAACTTTCAATTGATTTGAAATAAGTAGAACTTGGGAAAAGGAGTCTCGTATCCCCCCTGCCCCAAAGCAAAAACAGGGGAGCGAAGGTGAAACTGATGCCGGCATGGATCTGGGGCAAGTGGAAATGATAGTGATAGGACGCACAGTCAACTTCAGCTCTTTCTCACTCGCGAGATTTTCCACCGCATGTCTAATTGAAAGGAGACCGTAAAATGACGAGCTCGACTTGGACTCCTAAGAAGTCTGGGAGAAAGATTTATTCTACCGAAGAATTACAACCTGTCCGACTCTCATGTGATTTTGCAATTGGAAGCAAGAATTCATGTTGGCTCCTTCAGGTTTTGGAGCGAAATAATTTATTATATCCTCCTTCTCCCCCTCCCTCCAATCTTTTATTACTTCACTCCTAAATCCTCGCATGCCATGTCATAGAGAAATGGCTGCACACGAGAATTCCTCTAACATTTGTTTGCACTAAACGGGCTCGATTTATACCGGATTGCCCAAAAATAAACGTTCCGAACTTTCGTGCGGCTTCAAACGGGACACCATGCTGAGCATCGTCTTGAAATTTTCAATGTGTCATACCCAATATAGGTAGGTGGGTTTAGGAAAATTTCAATGAATTTCCTTGCCCTGAACATAAGTAATAGCTCTTTCCGTTCAAGTCGTCAAATGAGCAAATGTGTCAGTGTGTTTGATGGCGGGCTGCTTCGGCCCGCTATCCAAGGAGGAAACAGGCGCGTTTCTTTGCGCACTCGCTCTTTTGACATCGCGCGGGAGGAAATTTGTTACTCATGTAGTTTGCAACCAATTTCAATGATATAACCTGCAAACATTGTATGTAATTTAATGCAATTAGTTAACTAGCTGTTTCCCTTGAAACATTCCCATTTTCCTTATTCAGGCTAATGGATTTCCGTCGCATAGCCTTCAAATGGGACAAACCGCTGGGATTTTGAACTGCCACTTCGGATACTTCGGCACAATACTATTGGAAGAATCCCTTCACAAATCCCCCCAAAACTACGAACCTCTATTAATGTCAGATTCGTTCAGGTACTCCTCTTTGCTCCCCAGGTTAAAAAAAAGTATTGCTGTCAATCGAATAAAAATTAAAGCGATTAATCGTGAGCCATTTAATCGATTAATAAATAATAAATATAATAAATAGATAGGTAGATAAATATAATTTTAATCGATTTCCTAGTTCCTCGTTAAGTGTGGCAAATGAAAGAAAGTGCTGATGAATGAAGAAAGTCCGTTGAAATCAACGGAAAAAAGAAACGCCCTGAGGCCCTTCGCCTCTTTCCCAACCCATACCGGAAGGATGTAACAAGTCTAAATGACTTGAGATATACAGTGACATCTCATTGAGCGGAGATTTCAAGATTTATTATGGATTCACCGGCAGCATAGGATGGGAGAATGGAAAAAGGAAGGAATCGTATATTGAGTTGTTGACACTAGTTTCCTCCTCTCTTGCACGCCCTCGGCCTTCACCCTCTTCCTCATCTCTTTGCTCTTCTCGCTACTTCCGTGGGGCTCTCGCACACATTCACTCACGCATTTACGCGCACGCCTCTCACTCTCCCCAGTCCTTCGATTATTGTCTTTCCTGCCAGGCGATCCTTACCAAAATCTCCTCTTCCTTTCGCGCGTTCCCTTCCAGTTTCTTCATTCCGACTTTCTCTTCCATTTCCTTCATTTTAGAATATTCTGGTTTTGCTTTTGCGTTTCGTTTTTCCAAAATAGCAGACCATTTTTTAAGAAGAGTGAGCAGTGTGAAATCGACCACCTTCTTCAAACCGTTATTTTATTTCCTACACTTGATTATGCATTCGTTTTCGGTTACAGTGCAAAACTATGATCTACAGTCAAACTTAACCAAACTCTAAAAAAAGAAGGCATTCAGGGGGAAATTAGGAGGGGGGCGATTAAAATTATATTAAACAAGACTGATTTTTTTATCGACATTAATACTTTTTTATTAATCGGTCGATTAATCTATGGAATTAACAGCTCTAAAAATAGGTATATGATCTTCTCGCTCTCAGTTCTTTGAGACGATGGCAGAATGACATCTTGTCAGGGATTATAGGCGACAAGGAGGTCCTTAGATTATAATGTTCGAAATCCTGAACCCTTGTCAAGCGGCATCTCCTGCCTCATGAAACACCATAAAAGCGGATTGGCATCTGCCAGCTGTGTTGACTGCAAGAACCCCAATTGTATTGCTTTCCATAGGGATACAGTCGACGCCCCGAATGCTTGTGCATGCGGCATTTGTCCGGCGCAGAGAGAGCCAGTTTGCGTCTGTCAACACCATTTGTGAAAGAAAAGGTTTTAAAATGTTAAAAGTCGTTGGTCTGTTTTGTCATACCCTGCATATATTTCTACAGCCTTGAGACCAACTGTTTCATTTGAATATGTGTAAGGATTACTTGGAGTTTGACAATTAACTGAATTGGCATCTGGATGTGGTATGCAATATGATTTTGCTGACGAAGAGAATAGCGATTTCCAGGAATACTTCTTGATTCCATTAGTTCATAGGTCGAGCTTAGCACCTAATGAGAATCCGCCAAGAAGTAAAACGTCGAAAGAAGACCACATGCAGTGTAAATATGTAGAAAAAGAAAATATGAGGGAGACAACAGGTAGAAATTATGACGCTCGAAGGAAACCTTCATCTCTACTGAGACTAACAAATATTGCCGATCATCTATCTCCTAGCTGGAGTGTCAGAGCTCAATAACTAATGAGATCATGAAAAGGGTTTCAGTCCATGAATGCGATAAAATTGCATTTAACACACAAGTGCAGGTTACGACGTTTGGATTGCAGATAGGCATTGGATTCGCAAAGTGATTGAAGGTAAGTTTCAATTGCGCATCATGACGAGAAAAGAGCATTGACGACTCCTGCATGAGTCATCTACTTTCACTCCTAATTTTCCAGATAAATCTAGGCCTCGGCCTACTTCGGTGCTAGAACGTAGACCAACAGACAAAATGCACAGACTGAAATGAAAGCCAGTGCGTCTTTCTGTGGCGGTATTCTCACTTGCGAAATATTTGTTTTGTTAGCGTTTGGCTGACCTCAGACAAGTTACACGCATAATTATTTTACCGTGATCTTCGCAGAGGGGAATTTCACAGAATTCCCACTCGATTTTTGAGTCCGAGATGAAACACCAAGATCTTTCCTTCGAAGAGGGGTTCCTGCAATAGTTTTCATGGGAACTCGGGTCCTCATTGAAGAAATGCTCATCGTAAAGAAGCGTGGCCATGAAGTCGTTCGGTTTCCCGTAGGGCTTGGAATCCCATCTGAGGCAGTCCTTCCCCGTCACAGTCTCGTTTCGTCTTCCCACGTACTCCTTTCCTCTCTCCGATTTCCGGCACTCTGGGTAAACTGACAAAAATATAACATGTTAATTTTGGTCTTTTTGTTCTGTATTATTAAGAGTCAAGAGAATTAGTAACATCATGAGGCGATTTCGCCCATTTCGGTTTTTTTGTCATCTCGTAATTGGAATTCATAATCTCAATATTAGGCTTGTTGATGCGTCTTGTTGAACTCGCCTCGTGATACTTGACAATCGAGTACATTACCTAGATCGATGAAAGCTTGTTGAGAAACTAATGTCAAGCCATTCAGATTCATACTCATAAAACATTGTTCTTCATAAGCCCGTGGGCATATTTTAAGCAATTTAACGGTGGCGAATCCCATTGCATGCATTATGTCATGAACTCAGAAAATTGTCATATGTGGAAACTAAAGTTAGAGAGTCAGCTGTTATTAACTGAGAAAAAATGTTGTTTATGATGATATCCGAACAATTCCTATGTAAATTCTTCTAGACCCGTATCATATTCTCTCGAAAGAGGCGGAATGCGAAACAAGCCTCCAGGGCATCTGCCTTCGTCCTGCGTCAGCGCCGCCTTTTCTTGTGCAGAGGTGATCCACCGGATTTTCATGTATCCCATGTATTTATAACTGGCAAAACAATTAGCCACATCTTAGGCTGTGGGTCAAAATCATTTGGAACACCCTTTTTGTGCTCTGACTTTGAACTCAGGTGTTGAATAGGGCAAACATAAATTGTTGTCATTTCCATTAGTCAAGAAATGTGAACATTATTCACACTGAGTAGACCAGTCTAAAAAAAAGTCTTCTTATAACCTTCCTGAAGAGTCTGGGTGAAATAACAGGCAAATTGCTATTAGATAGCTTTTGGATATGATAAAGTTAATGTTATGATGGAGTTTTGTGTTAATAAGATTTAGGTTAAGTTCAACAGAGGGGAGGATTAGGCATCAAATTACTCATCCAATCAACCCTTTATTCATGCCCAACCCCACCATGAGACCCGGTGCTTTGAGACAATGGGTGAAATGAAGAAGGCTGAACGGACGTCCTGCTAAAAGGTATCATAAGAGATGTCATACCCGGTTTTGAGCATTTCACTTTGCCAGAACGGAAGGAAGTGCACCAATGATCAGGGATTGAGGAGCAGGTGGCCTGGTGCTCCGACATTCCATCCGTGAATCCCTCATCACAAGTGAAGACCACCTTGGCCCCAATGGGTGCTGGGTATCCCCCGTCCCATTTCTGGTATGACACCTTCTCATTCTCAAGCATTGAGTACTACGTCAAGCAGAACTCTGCGAATCAACTTACGTTCATGAGCAAAGAACGTACTTTTTGAGCGTAATGAGACGTCCAATTGTAGCGACTTTGAGTGTCGAATTCAACTTACCAAAGAGAGATAAATAGGAATTATTATATTGAGAGGGGGTGACCCCCACAAAAGACTACTTCTGGCATACCAGAAAGTGTCGACGTAAAATCTAAAAGCAGGTTTAACCATTGGAGAGACATCAGTGCCAAAAGATTTTGTAGTCTCAAGCCATATTTATGAATAGGACTCCACAGTATCAGAAAATTCACATCTGGGTGGACTTCCATTTCAGAGCTCACGCACATCCATTCGTTGCGCTCAATAAATTTTGAGATGCCTTGTCCCAGGAATGATACTCGAATTCATAAATGGGGTGCCCGGTGGATGTCCAAGGGGATTTTAGAATATCATCGATGCCAGCTATTTGGGGTGTATGTTTCATTCTGACGTATCTGTCTGGTGTATCTATCAGGATGATGCATCATTTTCACTTATCAATCTTACTCAGGATGTGCAAGGCTCCTCAACCTACTTAATCTATTTGATTGAAGCATCGAATAGAAATGAAGCAAATTATGGAAAAGGATGACATTGGTTGCGGCGTAATTTACTTCCCATACTCCTTTAATTATCAACCCTTTACATGAGAGCATTTGTCGGAACATGACTGGGAAGAATCATTCCAGGCCCTTCAACTTTTGCGGAATTAATAAGAATTTCATATAAATTAAGAAAGCAAAGACTTCATTCAATGCCCTCTTCTTCTGCATTCCAAGTTTCCATGTGCTTCTTTAGTCTTTTCATACGTTTCTGTGGTGTTCTTCACCCTACAATCCAAAAATAGAATTTTTAATCCTGGACGGAACTCAAATAACGCATTCTTTTCTTCAGCTGACAAATGCTTTCCGCCGTTTGATTTAATTTATTAATGGGCTCGATCTAATTGGATCAGGAGGTGATGAGGTGCAGGTCAGGAATTCAAACTGAAAAAATTTAACTGTGGATCAGCCATCATATAACATGTGCATTATGAACATTAACATGAGCAATGTTCTCGAAATACAAGACACATGGTGAATGATAAGGCTATCACAAGTAACACAAGATATTCCAGCAACGTTTAGGAAATGTTGATGAATTGATGTTCCCCATGAGGGCGATTTTTCAAAAATGATTCATGAGTGCGTTTGTTTGCTCGATGGAAAAATAGTCACTGGTATTATGTGAGTAACCACATGAATATCGGGAAATTTTTGCAGTGACATCAAGGGGCAAGAAGCCGAAGCCTTTAGTTTGTGTCTCGACGTGTAGACGACTATGGCAGACCCAAGACATTCCTTAGTTAATGACTTCTTCTTGTAATGGCTATGAGAGGGCTACTTTATGAAATGCCTTTCTTTTGTTGCAACAGCCCAACCGCACACCAAAGAAATAAACTCCATTGCAGTGTCTTCTTTGTTCAGATAATTGCCCAGAAACGATCCACGCCCACCTTAACGTTCATGACCCAAATTTAAGTTGGTGGCCCGCACGAAATGGAGAGGAACGAAGCAAGATGCGTTAAGAATGCTTCTGAGCTACTGAGGCGGTCGTGATATTCTTTTTCTTTCGAAATGGAGGAAAAGGGGGAAGAAAATTTGACAGGCAGAAAATACACAATTTTCGTGCTACTTCGAGGTCAAGTTTTAAATTGAAATGCATGATGAGTTCATGGCAATCCAATTGGCTGCTTCTTCATTCAATATTTTGAGCTCATTAATGGACTTTTACTTTCATTTTCTTAAACGTAGGGATCGATAAAGAAATTGACTTGAATGTTCCACAAGAGGAGATACCACGGAAATACCTGTGGCAGATGTTGAAGAGCAACTGAAAAAACGGACGGAGATTTACTACAGTACTTCGACACTCCTGAATATTGAGGGAAAAATAACACCCCCTACTCTCAATGCGTCCCATAGGACATCTAGGAACCCAAGAAACAGCTGAGATTGGCGTGCTCACTCTGGACGTAAGCCTGATATCCATCGGAGGGGAGGAGATTGCTTCTTTCGTTCGAAATCAGTTGACAAGAGCCATTGGCACTTCGGTAGTTATAGGCGTTACACGGATTCGGTCGCTGCGTCACGCAGGAGATGCTGCACTCTGACCTACGCTTTGCTGGAATTTCCCGAGACACGTTCCCATACCTTTTCCCAGGGTGAGACGGGTAATATGCCAAGAAGCCAAGCACTGTCTTTAGAAATAGGAGGTAGACAAGGAACAATCGTATCCTCCCACGTCGACCCATTTCGATGAACTCGGTTCTCACTTTCGCTTCATATGTATAGCCTATTCCCTTTATAAGGGGTCAGACGTTGCGTGATAGATTTGCACCAATGGGCAATAGTTTCGTGGTTAAGCGAGTACCTTTCGCTCTTTTTTCCTCCAACCAAATCCCGAGCAGGTTGTTATTGATCTAACTCGTCTTCCAGAGCACGCGCGTTGTTGGGAGGAGCGCAATCTGAACTTTCCAAATTTTGCTCCAAGAATGTTCAAGGGGATCGAGGTTTTGGACGCTTAGCTGACTGAAATTCGGACAAACCATAGCATGACCCTTGGTAATTCATGTAAAAAAAATGTTAATCCTAAATTCTTGTTCACTGTTCAGCGAGAAACCCAAATGTATATGAAATTTCCATGATTGGAATATTTTTGAAGGAACCGTTGCTGGAACTTGCTTTCTTATGTTGGCTTAGGAAGAAGCACCGTCTGTCTTTGGAGTCAATTGTGGCTGACGCTTGAAATAGATGGATTACGTGTCGTGATATGCCTTAATCAACAATCTTAAACGCTGACTCCAGTTTCACTCTCGTTTTACTTTAAAAAGAGTTAAAATAGGGTATGAGCTACCCTGTACTTCCTGCTTCTCTTCAGCTAAGTAATACATTTTTCGCCTCGTCAGCGGTCATTAATTTAAAAAAAATGAAAATAGGGGATAGGGGAGAACTTGCTACTCAAGAATTCTCATGAGAAGGCGCATAGAAAGGCTTCGAGCCTCTTCCACCTGGTAATAATCACAACCTGTCCCGTGAACAGAAAATAATTGGAGGGGATTTATACCACCTTGGATAAGCTGAACTCCTAAAATTTGACCAGATAATTGCTAGTTTTCCCAATGTTTTTAATGAAATGACAATGATGTGGGCTCTAGCTCGTTCTACTTAGAGTCTAATGAATATAAGCCTGTAAGTCAGGAAAATGGCTGAGTATTATTGACTTGGGAGCCATCAACTCGAAGAAAAATAAGAGGAGAAAAATCGGCTGATTAATGATCACGAACTGTGCCTTCTGGCCCCTGAATTATCAAACGCGCCATCGACCTGTAGGTGCGACACTTCATCCCATATGACGTTGTTCCATTTCCCCATTCCAATATTTTCCTTCATGGAAACGCGTCTCCAATTCTTGGTTTAGAACTTGCAATCATCTGAGCTACTGGGGAATCGGTTCAGCTCTGGAGAATAACGAACTTTAAAAATCGATGAAACAGATTACTCGACATGTGCAAGGCCAGCTACTTCGAATTTATTGAAGCTACTTTTCCTGTCATATATATGGCTATAGTAAATAGCGGACTCCATCTTTTCCAGAAAAATATTACATTGGCTAAGAGAGAATTCATATTTATGATTTCGATTAAGGTTTCATGCTGTTAATGTTAATCCTAAATTCTTGTTCACTGTTCAGCGAGAAACCCAAATGTGTATGAAATTTCCATGATTGGAATATTTTTGAAGGAACCGTTGCTGGAACTTGCTTTCTTATGTTGGCTTAGGAAGAAGCACCGTCTGTCTTTGGAGTCAATTGTGGCTGACGCTTGAAATAGATGGATTACGTGTCGTGATATGCCTTAATCAACAATCTTAAACGCTGACTCCAGTTTCACTCTCGTTTTACTTTAAAAAGAGTTAAAATAGGGTATGAGCTACCCTGTACTTCCTGCTTCTCTTCAGCTAAGTAATACATAATACAGAAAAATCGACTGATTAATGATCACGAACTGTGCCTTCTGGCCCCTGAATTATCAAACGCGCCATCGACCTGTAGGTGCGACACTTCATCCCATATGACGTTGTTCCATTTCCCCATTCCAATATTTTCCTTCATGGAAACGCGTCTCCAATTCTTGGTTTAGAACTTGCAATCATCTGAGCTACTGGGGAATCGGTTCAGCTCTGGAGAATAACGAACTTTAAAAATCGATGAAACAGATTACTCGACATGTGCAAGGCCAGCTACTTCGAATTTACTGAAGCTACTTTTCCTCTCATATATATGGCTATAGTAAATAGCGGACTCCATCTTTTCCAGAAAAATATTCCATTGGCTAAGAGAGAATTCATATTTATGATTTCGATTAAGGTTTCATGCACAATAACTATTGTGAGTGGAGAATTGATTGCGTCTTCAGAAGAATACGCAATGTTTTAGAAAAAGTAAACAGTATCATGTTCAATTGCTCTTTGGCAAACAAGTCTTGCTGATATGTTTTGGTAAAAGTTTGCCTGGGTGACTGTGCAGTTAGAGGCACCCAGCACATTGAATGAACGCATGCCATGCAAACTAATTCTTCAAATAAGATGATGGTTTGGCTGCTTTTTTATGCATGGGGTGTAACTTTAGGTCCTTTAGGGGGTATACCCTATGGAATGCACATAAATATTTTTTTATTATAAATGAGACTGTTTCCCGAAATAGTTTTTTCTCCTGTGATATGGGTAGATCCGATACTAAGCAGGAATTTAATGCAGAAGTATTTTTTAGGAACAAATTTTAAGGAAAATCCTAATTCTTTGGCACATTCCTCAGAGTCGTGTATTTGGGGCAGCAGTTTTTAAATAGTTTTTCTCTTTGCGATGGGTGACGCAATGCATTTTTTCATTCTCTGAAAACATATGCGAAAAGAGGCCAGAAGCCTACGGCTTCATGACACTCATTAATCCATAGCCCTGCGACACTTGAT